GAAGGGGCGCGCCGGGCAGATGCCCACCTGCCAGGCGCGCGGCCGCGGGCTTTCGGGGATGGAGTCCCCTCCGCCCCACCCCGGGGTGCGGGGGCCTGAGCCTCAGCGTGGCCGCTGGTGACGCGCAGGTAACAATGCCTGCGCCCCCACCTCACCGCGTCGGGGAGATGGCGCGCGCCGTGGGTGCAGAGACCCCTCCGCCTGGCGCCCCAGGACCCTCGAGGACCGCTCTGGGAGTGAGCCGTTGTCAAGGAGACCCCGTGATGATGACCTGTCGGGAATCCCGCCTCTGGGGATCCGGGTCTTGCCCCTTCTGGCCTGAGGAATGGAGGGCGCAGCCCGGGTCTGTGAGGTTCCGTGGCCTGGCGCCCCGTGTTTCATGGGCCTCCCCTCCTTCCAGTCCTGGATCTCGATGCTCCCTCGTGGTTCAGGATGCATCCTTGGTTCAGGATGAATTAGCAAAACCTCCGGAGGGGCAGCGGTTGAAAGGAAGTGTTCCTTGGCGCCGTCTCTGGGGAGCCGCGGGTACCTGGAGAGCTCTGCCTCTGCCATAGATTATTAATTTTCGCTGCTTTTGTTCCTTTCTCACCACCATCCCCAGCCCCGGAGCGATGGGCCCGTAGAGACAGTGGGGTCCGGGCGTGGCAAGAGCCTCTGGTGGAAAGGTCCCCCTTGCAGGCTTGTCCGCAGTCTCCACGTGGGAACCCACCCTAGGGGTGGACCATTCGCATTAAGCGCAAACATTGATATCCATCAGTTCCGAAATTACAAGGAACATTGTGTCTCCATCTTCTTTTAGTTGCTAGTAGCTCCTTTTTTTTTTTTCTGCCTCATCGGCTGCAGTTTGGGGCCATAAAATAATAGTACACATCCCGGCCCCTCCAAGAGTAAAAGGCGTGATATCTTTGACCCTTGCTGTGTCTTGTACAGAATCAGCAGAATGGGCAGCTTTGCCTTGTCCTGCTGTGTGGACAAGTACACTGCCCACGGGTGCTTCCTCACGGTGTGTGGGGAGGGAGGGATCCCCAGAACTGGAGCGGGGAGAAACCTATTTGGAACCAAAGGTCTCCCTCGGATGACCAAGGGGCAGTGTGGGAGGTGGCAGCTGCTCCCTGCCTCGGTGCCCTGTCACGGTCACTGTGGTTCCCAGGAGCAAATGGCTCACGCCTGCCTCCCCCGAAGGTGACACCACACAGCTTCTCGGGGTGGCTGGAAGGGCCATGGAGAGAGAAGAAACTTGTTTTTGCCCAGGACTTTGGACTCTGTCTCTGGGCCCACGACTACTGAGTAAACAGATACAGGATTAACAGCAGTTAAACCTGCTTAGAGAAAAAAATAGCAAAAAAAAAAAATTAGAAAAAAAATGTTTGGGTAAAATCTGGACTAACATTTTGGCTCACAAGTCAGATTCTGTGTTTCCGTTCCGATGCGATGCAACGTTCAAACCTAAACAACTTAGATCGCTTGTTTTTAGAATGCACCATAACAAATATTGGCAGAAAAATATGTTTTACTTTAAAAAAAAATCATAGTTTTTGTTGATTTCATACAGAAGAGAAAAAAAAAAAAAAAACAGAAAAAAGAGAGATCACTCCTGATATCTGTAGCGTGGAAGAAATTAGCAACTTTACGTGGTTGTAGATTCTCGGGGTCATTTAATTCCCAAACCTAACTGGTTCCAGTCACCCGAAGAGATCTTTAGACTGCTGAGAGTTGGGGGGAAGTGTGGCTATGGGGTCTCTTTTCAAGATAACCTCCTCAGGTCATTCTTGGGCATTGTTCGTCCAATCCAACTAGTTATTCCTATCGAAACTGCGGTAGAGAAACAAGACAGACCAGAGAGGAGGCTTCAGTCCTCCGTCACCCACCAGCAGGCTGACCTTGTGTGACCTTGCCGGAGCTCCTCCGCCGTCCCTGAGCCCCAGACCCTAACTCTGCAGTGGTCTCCCAGCTCCCACAGCGCAGGGGTGCCTGAGTTCCGGGCTTTGGGTATAAGACCATTAGCGAACGAAACACCCCCCCTCCCTGTGACATAAGTGGTCCCCAGTGCCACAGAAACGGACGCATGATTCATGTTGGGAAACTTTAGTTCTTAATAAACAAATGAGAGAGAGAGAAAACAAAGATTTGATTCCAAGCACCATAACCCACACTCATCAACGTCCTCAATTGTTTTTCCTGCTTAGGCTCTGAGATGATGGCAGGTCTCATTTTAAAATGTTATAGTTCCTATGTTGCCTTTTTTTTTTTTTTGTCTACGAAGAGGGAGCATAATCTCTGTCTTACCCTCTTTGGATATCCTGGGCCTCTCTGTGCCCCGCACACGTCTCTCATGCCCTGCCTCACGCTGTTCTCTTCATCTGAACCGCTCCACACCAACCCGGCGCCCAATGCCAGGTGTCATCCTCGGGGGGCCCGTCCCCAGCCCCCCACGGGCTCCTGCACTCTGCGGTCACTGCCTCGGTACAAGTGTCTAGCGTCCCTTCCTCCCACGGCTTGAGGATGGACGTTATTGGTCTATTATATCCAAGTGCCTGACACCTACACGCTATAAATTTTGACCTCAAATGAAGCCCACAGTTTTAAACAGGAGCCATATATATATGTGTGTATATATATATATATATATATATATATATATATATGGGTTACGCTTGATACAAACTGATTCAAGTTTTAATTCTCTAAATCTGCGTTCAATGAACTTTTTGGAATATACTAGACATGACAGCCAGGAAAACCCTCCTTCAAAAAAACATCTGAATCAGGTGGTGGAACTTCTTGATTTATCGCTAACCTTGGTTAAAATAAAATGCATTCTCTTTTTTAGGTCAAGGCATCCTCCTGTTAGAACCGGGAAAACATGAATTTCCATTTAGCTTTCAACTCCCATCTGGGTAAGTGAGGCTACTGTCACGTTTTTTGTGATTTTTTTTTTTTTCTCTTTCATTTCCTGGTTTTGTTTAACTGAAATATAAACTTATACATTCATTTCTTTGGCTCTATCCAGACTCTTAGGAACCTCGTTTACTGGGAAGTACGGAAGCATCCAGTACTGCGTGAGGGCCGTCCTGGACAGGCCCAAGCTACCTGCCCAGAGTGTGACGCGGGAACTCCAGGTGATTAGTCACATCGATGTCAACACACCAGCATTACTCGTAAGTGTCCCTCCTTCCTGCCCTCCCCCGGCCCTCCCTTCCTGCTTCATTTCCTCCCCGAGCCAGTTCAGCGCTTGTCCGGCCTGTCCCCTTCTGATACCATCTTGTAACCCACAGGCACTCGCCCTCAATCTGGGATGGATTCTAGGTTGAGCAAATTACAAAGCGTGTGTGTTAAATACTGTTGATCGGGGCCCCGGCTGCTCTGGGCGGCTTCCCAAAAAGTCACGCAGGCTGGAAACGCGCGAGCCGGGCGTCACGATGATAACTCGAACCCGGAGAGCCGTGACCTGGACGGACGGCCACACTCGGGGCCGGGGTGTTCTAAACTCTCCAGTAACAGCAGGTTGGGGGACAGTAATCAGGAAGGGGTATTAATCACGCCCAGCCCGTTCCTGAGGCCCGCCCCATTATGCTATGTATCCCATTTTGCGTGTCATTTTCTAGCATTAAGTGCAGTGCGTGCAGCTGTCTCGGGGACCCTTCCATTATCATTTCCTCGTGACAGATCTGGCCACATTAAAGCATTGAATTTCCAATAATCACCAGAAAATACTGTAGACGGATAAGACAGATTAGGCGATAAGTAACAACAGAGCAGGCAAGATGGGAGCTAATGAGCGAGGTTCTTTTATCTAAACCCATATTATCAAAATAATGTAAAATTATACCTTGTACTTTGGTGATAGCTACTGGGACCTAATGGGTCTTCATTTAAATATGAATGAATGGTTTTTTGTTTTTTTTTACTTTATAAAAAATACTGGGGTGATTTAAACTTTTCATCATGATACTGATGCATTTTANTAAATATGAATGAATGGTTTTTTATTTTTTTTTACTTTATAAAAAATACTGGGGTGATTTAAACTTTTCATCATGATACTGATGTTACAAAGATGCATTTTAGTTAGTGCGGGAGGTTTCTTTTTCTGGCCAACGTTTTTCAAGATAAGGAAAGAAGCCAAGAGTTAGGAGTTATTTAACTCTGTTTTCGCAGGAAAATGGAATAGAATTCACTCTGATGTTCATCTTTAGATTGTGAAACTATAACAAATACGCCCTGTTTGTATATTTGTGGCCGAAATTGTAAAATAACCAGCACCCACCGACCAGGTTTATAGCTGTGACTTACCACCCGCTTAACACCTCCGAAAATTGACCATGCCCAGTGTCTTTATCTCTAAAACTATTACAGTTGAGAGGGTAACTATTACTAAACTATTTATGGGGCCATTGTGGCAAATGACTTAAAGAGATTTTATCTTTTGCCAAAAAACAGATACTCTTTAGCCTTTGCTATTCTTTTCTGTAAACAAAGACAGAAACATTGTAACTTTCGGGTTTTACAATGAGCCTGTGGTCTGCGCATCTTGTAACCCGAGCCTTTTAAATCTTGTGTCATTTCCCTTGATACCGGACAATGGAAAGTGGGGTGTGTCCAATAATCTTTCGGATCCGTAACAGTGGGTATCTTTTCCTGCTGTTACACAAAACCCCAAAAACCATTCTGAGTTAAAGACACTTGAAATATCTGCCTAATAATGCATTTTGAAGTGGGAGGGGGGCGGAGAGGGGGCATTTGTTTAGTCCGTGCTTTAAATGCCAAAACAAATAGAACATTTATGATCATTGGTTTTTATGCCATTTCTCCTTCGCCCAGATCTACATAGAAAGCCTTAAAATCGTAGTGCTGACTTGTTAACAGGTACTGGAGGTTTTGATTGCTTTTATAAGGGATGGTATATCATTTCCCAGAAACGTAATGACTAGGATGGTGTCACCCCAACGTGGATGAGAAAATTCACCTTCGTTTTCCGAGAAAGGGAACGATTTCGGATGCTTCGTGTTTCAGTAAGATTCTGTCTCATATGTCACGTGAAATAAGACAGGTTGATTTGTTTGTCTGTTTTGGAAGACGTTCCTTTACAACTACTTAATGAAGACTAACACATAATTTTAAGTCTTGTGAGTGTTCTAGACTGGTTTAATGAAAGTTGTTTTGTCATTTGAAATTTCCCAGACCCCAGTGTTGAAAACTGAAGAGAAGATGGTCGGCTGCTGGTTCTTCACCTCGGGCCCAGTCTCGCTGAGTGCCCAAATCGAAAGAAAGGGGTACTGTAACGGTGAGCAGAATGTTCTGGAATTCCCAGTGGAAGATTCATTCATTTTATTGGCTGATTTTAAGTGATTTTCAAATAGCGTGTTTTGTCATTCACGAAGTACATTCTATTTTAAACACACAAACAAAATATGTCACTGTTCTTCATATAAATAATTGATATTTAAATATTTCCGAGTGGATAGGTTCCAGTAAAATGCGGGCATTCCTGACTTCAGTCCTCTTACTGTGGCCACAGAGACTAAAAACGGGGAGAGTCAGGGAGCGCCAGGGTCACGTTCTAACGTTGTAAGAGGCTCCCCACAGCCGTGTTGCTCGGAAGAGAGCTCTTGCGGTATGGAAACACTATCCGGCCTTCCAATCCCACACTGGGGATACAAATATACGGAGCGAGAATGCAGAGCCTTAGCAAGCTTAACAGTCCGACTGATAGTGCAACTCCCATTTGTGACAGGCCCCATCCCGTTTCGCGGACCTGGTCCCCTCCTGGGTCCTGGCTTATTGCAAATGAATGGGGAGCGGTAGGATGGCGGATGCACCACGTGGATGTAAAACTTGCCTACACCACCCATTGCTTTCTTCGTGCCTTCCCACCTAGTCCTTAAAAGCAAAGGCCGAGTTCTTTTGCGGGGCGCAGATTTTACCTGGGGGGGCACCGAGCTTGTTAGGGATCTTTTGTACCTAACAAGGCACTCAGTCGTTTACTGGGTAGGTCTTATCATTTTTTAAAGATGCTGGTCATTTACGTAGCTTTAGAATTGGTAACCTAATATTGCTACATTAGAAAAATGGCTAATGCAACAATCAGAAAACAGTGTCTGCCACAACCTGCGGTGAATTTCCATTTCTCCCACTGGGATTTACAGTATCCGTTTTCCGTTGGGGGCTTCTCAATTTGTTACAGTTCCAAGGCTTCTTGATTTGTTACAGTTTTGTTGCCAACCTTTCAGCTTTAATTGGTAACAGCTCTCTTCCACCGTGGTGAGAACTTTCCAGAAAGTCTCTGAAGGTGTTTTTTTAATTTTTTTTCTTAGGAGAAGCTATCCCAATCTACGCAGAAATAGAGAATTGTTCCTCCCGGTTGATAGTCCCCAAAGCTGCCATTTTCCAAACCCAGACGTACTTGGCGAGCGGGAAAACGAAGACCGTCCGGCACGTGGTGGCCAACGTGCGAGGGAACCACATCGCGTCCGGGAGCACCGACACGTGGAACGGAAAGATGCTCAAAATCCCGCCCCTCCCGCCATCCATCCTGGACTGCCGCATCATCAGGGTGGACTACTCCCTGGCCGTAAGCTGCACTCCTTTTAAGACTAAAAGTGTGCAGAGTTGACCTGCAACGTGTCCATGTTACTGTGAATATGCAGGCTGGGCACCTAGGGCAATGTCCTTTCAGATCAACAGCATTGCAATAAATTGTGAAGTACATGAACACTGGCCTTTGTAAGCAAAAACGATCCCCCTATGGGATTTAATTAAATAACATAAAAAAACTAGGGTGCAGCCCTGGCCAGTTTGGCTCAGTGGTTAAAGCATCAGCCTGCAGACTGAAGGTCCCGGGTTCGATTCCGGCCAAGGACAAGTACCTCAGGTGCCAGCTCCATCCCCAGCCCTGGTCAGGGTGCTTGTGCAGGAGGCAACCAATCCATGTGTCTCTCTCACATCACATCAATGTTTCTCTCTTCCTAACCACCCCTCCCAAAAAGCAATAGAAAAAGTATCCTTGGGTGAAGATTAAAAAAAAAAAAATTAAGGCACATTCCGGGTGTTTGTGGTAGTGCAGGCACGTACTTCATTTTCTGTGGTTATCATGTGTGTAAGCCACACACACTAGCGATGAAGTATGTCAAGGCCACGGCTCCCCATCCCCGAGTGTGCCCGGTCCTTGGTGTGCTCGTCTTGTGGCCTGTTCTTTATTTTATTGGGTCTGGACAACGTACAATTGTATTGCGGGGTACAGGGGGTGGCAGGTGACAGTAGCATTTGTTCCTGTGAAAAAATAATCAGCTATTCTTTCTAGAAGGTTAAGCTTTTTTGTTGCCTTTCTATTTCATTTCCTTCTCTCTCTTTTTTTGGCATAACAGGTGTATATTCACATCCCTGGTGCTAAAAAATTGATGCTGGAGCTGCCCTTAGTGATCGGGACAATCCCATACAGTGGCTTTGGCAGCCAGAACTGCGGCGTGGCCAGCCAGTTCGGCGTGGACTTGAGCTGGTGGGCGCTGACACTGCCGGAGCAGCCCGAAGGTAAAGGGTTCAGGTTCTGGGTTCTTTCAGAATGAAACTTAACACACAAAACACCCAAGAACAGGACGTAGAACCTGGCGAGCGCACAGGCCTTAATCCCTGCTGCCACCACAACTATGCGGCCTCTCCTTGTTAGTAAAAATCATCTGACTTATTCCCCGGACGGGCCTCTGAGAGCCTAGCTTGTCCAGGACGCGAAGCTGCCGATGCCAGACCCAGAAATAAAATCCCCGTTTGCTGATTCTGGTGTATAAATAGGAAAACAACAAAAAGTAGTCAGCATAGAAGCGCAGTGCTGTAGATCTTCTGTAGCCACATTTCAATGATTTTTTTTTTTTGATTTTTTTTTTTACCTAGACTATAACACATGTCTCAAAAAACTAGGGTATAATCAAAGCAGACTCTACTCCCCGTTTTCCAGTGTCATAGACATGAAAACGTGCCCGTTGTGTTATCATCAACTTTAGAGAAACTTCTTGTTTATGTAAGAGTTCAGAGGGGGAAAAAAGCCACTGAGCGTTGACCTGTGATCCAGGAGCTCGCGGTTCGATTCCCGGTCAGGGCACATGACCAGGTTGCAGGCTCCTCGATCCCCAGCAGGGGGCGAGCAGGAGGCAGTCAATCATTGATTCTCATCATTGATGTTTCTCTCTCTCGATCCCTCTCTCTCTCTCTGAAATCAATAAAGACTTTTTTTTTTTAAAAGAGTTCAGAGGGGTTCATGGAACTCGGTTGTGCGTGGATTAATCTCACCCCAGCTCCCTTTCCGTTTCAGCTCCCCCGGATTACACGGACGTGGTGTCGGAGGAAGAGGTGTCCGGGCAGGGCCGCCCTTACGCGCGGCCACCCAGCTGGAACGGGGAGGCCGGCTGCCCCGCGCTCGCCTGCCTTCGGGACTTCCGCCTTCAGCCGCCTCCTCTCTACTCAGAGGTAGACAAAGGCCCAAGAGATACATTCGACTTGACTTGCATTGTGCTGTCTGCAAATGACACTTCGTTGCTAAGTCCTCATTCACAAGGGATACATATTTAAACAGATTTTTTATACAGTGACGGCAGATGATCACTGTTTCATTGGCCGCCTTGCACAGGACGGTCCCTGAGCTCTGTGGTGTGGGCAGGGTGTTGAATGTGGCCATGGACCACGGAGAAGCGAAGCGCCTCCTGGGACTTAGGGGCTTAGTGATCACCCCCATTGCGTCAGCGGAAATAGATCCGAGTCCTTTTAAAGTCGTAACCCAGGCTGCTCTCCTTTGCAGGTTGATCCACATCCCAGTCACGTAGGAGAGACCCAGCCCGTCCCCATCTGAGCGAGCGTAGTCCGGAAACCGCTGTGATCGGCAGGCACCAAAGGGCATTGCCTCTTCTCCCCCCACCCCTGCCTCTTTGGGGACGAGCGAGGGAAGATTCACCTAAGAACATAACCACATCAACACCAAGCAATTAAAGAATTCAGGAACTTCAACAGGACTGTCGCCCGAGTTGACAGCAGGGCCGTGCGTCCCCTTCGAAGAATGGGAGGGACGCATGATGCCATGGAGTGTTAACGGGAGTCCCAATGGGGACACAGTAAGAGAGGGGAGGCCTGCGCCAACCCGGGAGACAGGAGTGTGTGTGACCAGGGCAACATGCGCGCCCTGGGAGGGGACTCAATTTTGGAGCGCAGGGATGTGCAGGGACAGGAAAAAGCCCACTCACTACACAGTGGGACCCCCGGGTGCCAGGGGCTGCCTGCTGCCTCCCGATCCCATAGGACCAAAGTCCATGGCCCTAGGGGTCCTTAAACCAGCCTGTTTCAGGGCTGGTTTAAGATGCGGTTTGTAATCGGGCAGTGGAGTAGGATGAAGCCTGGAAAGAGTCCCCCTCAAGGCTGGTCAGCTCCCACGGGAAAGATGAATTTCAACATGGAAACCCATCTGGTGGGAGGCCGCGATTTTTTCTACCCTCTTTCAGCACTTCAACAGGATACATGTTTGACTTTCACCTAGGAGTCTATCTGAAAAAGAAGGGGGGACAAATGTTGCATCTCTAGAATTACTTGAAAAGTACCCAAGAGAAAGGCCTTTTCCTAACCTACCTCTAGCGGGTGATCGGGGTTGGTTTTAAAACTCCGCCTGACGGGTGTTTGGAGGGTCTCCTGCTTTGCAGTTGTGTCTTATCTCGCCCGTCACTGCATCTGAGACCGAACCAAGGGGAAACCCTGCGCGGTTAGCATTCGATGCAGTGAGTGGACGCGTGCCCAAGGGTGTTTCAAAATAAATGCAAAGTCCGTAGGAATGCCAGTTTTTAGAAAGGCATGAATTTTTTTACTCCTAGCGGGGGACACACGTCTCCCGGTGGCAGTCACTGCCTTGTCCCTTGTCCAATTCTTCAGTCATTCTGTTTAAGCTGTGAGTGTATTGCTCTGGTGCAATATTTTGTTAGCATTTAACCTCAGGATATGGAGAGTGAGGGGATGACGTTGCTGCTAAAAATCTAGGAAGTATTTTTCCTGTTCCCCTCGGGCCTCCTAGTCGTGGTCTCACGTCCCCCTGCTGTGTCGTTGGATCTGTGGGTTCCGTGAGCTGAGGGCATTTCTGGACAAGAGGAGACAGGAGGCGGGGGTTCCCGCGATGGAGACTGGGGACCAGCTGGGGACATAGGTGTCCTAGGGTTTGATCTAGAAACCCGGGTGCTTCCCACGTGAAAAGCTCAACTTCATCCAATGGAGCAGTACCTTCCGATCACTGTATTCAGCCAGAAACAGAAAAGTCCCCCAAGGCCCAATTCTGGATCTAAACGCCAGTGGGCCGCTCGATCAGGGATCTTGCTACAAACATTAGGCGCAATGCATGCATTTCTGTGGTGCCCCCCCGGACAGGCCGCGCACCTTTCCACGCGAGCCACGGTTTCAAAGCCACCACGCAAAACGGTTCCACCGACACGTGTGGGACCGAGACCATCGCAGAGCGATCCCCTGCCTCGGCTTTCGATGCAGCCTGTTTGGGAGTGTGCTTGAAAATGGGCCCATGTGTTGAAGTTCTGTCTGAGCAGTTTCGTTTCTACTTTAAAAAAAAAGATCATCTCCCGTGATTCATTGACTTCTAAATCGTAGTTTACACGCCTTGTCAAGACTTTTTCCATTTCCACGACACCAAGACAAAGGGAAGAAACAAAATGCAGCCGGGTGCGGTGGAAAGAGAGGAAATCGAGGGGTCTGGCTCCAGATAGAAGAGCAGCCACTTGCTGGGACCCTTCCCCGGGGTGACTTAATCTCCTCCATCAGAGAAGTCATGGAGCGAACCCCGAATACAGCAGCCCAGATAACTGATGGTGCATCTCTTCAGAGAACAGCTCGGGTACGACCTGCCTCGTTGAATTCCCAGCAGTGCGCCCGACCTTCGGCAGTGGGTCAAAGCTGCAAACCTTTCCACGATCGCGAAATTATTTTACAGATGTAGAAAATGCTACATCGGAACAGGGGCGACTTGGAAGTGAAGGTAAACTTACATTTGGCTCTTGTATCCGCTTGTATTTTCCCTTGCTGGGTTCCCAAAGAAACCACGCCTTAGGATTTTCTTTCTGATGCAAAAATTTTGAAATTGAAAATGTGAAGCTCTGAGGGCACACAAAAAAAATCCTTCTGTGGGCAGAACTTTAATTTTTTTTAATTTTTTTATTTTTTTGCACAGTAAGAAATTCAATAGGTGGGGGGGTTTGATAAGTTGACTATGAAAGCTTTTTTTTAATTTTTATTATTAAATATGTAATGATTTAACCCACGGGGGGGGAAAAAAACCCAAGACAGTATTTTGTACTCTTGTTTGAACCCCATGGGTTCCTTTTGTTAATAAAATGATCACACTAACCTGAGTTGCTAGTTTTGTTCTGTTCTGTTTTTGTGTGACTGTGACTTAAATTGTGACAGACTTAAGGGAAATCAATACCACAAAATGAACAGTTAACTGATGATGAGACGCTTTTGCTGCCCCGAGGCCAGGCGCCGCCCCAGGATCCTGAGCCTGTTTTTTACAGTGGGCTCGGTTTCCCCAACATAGTCCGTGCTGAGCTTCCACGAAAAGAAATAGTTAAGATGAGCAATAAGCTGAGCTATACTAGCGGTCGACAGAGCATTCTCTGGGTTTATCCCCAAGTGGAGTGGCCACTTTTTTTTTTTTAATCCTTACACAAGGATATTTGGGTGGCGGGGGAGAGAGGAAACATCAATGTGAGAGAGACACATCGGTTGGTTGCCTCCGCATGGGCCCCAACCAGAGCCTGGGATCGAACCTGCAACCCAGGTATGTGCCCTTGGCAGGGAATGGAACCCGGGACCCTTCAGTGAGCGATGTAGTGGCCACTTTTTAAAGCTTCTGGAGGCTCGTGTCATTGGGCCAGAACCTGCCAGGACTGGTTTAGTAGGTCTGGCGGGAAGCAGGTGGACCAATCCACACTGGGGACACTCACCTGGGTAAACGTCCCCTCTCTACCTAAATACTCACATGCACAAAAGCCATGTTTTATACAATGAATTCGCAAACTGCCCAGACCCTCGGTCCAGGAAAATTAACCTCAGCTAAGCGGTAAAAATTAGCCCAGGAGCTTACTCTTCAAGCGTTTAGAACACGCGAGACGGTGTTCAATGACACACAGCTCTTGTCTGCCTCCACACTGGCAATCCACACACACTGAGATATTTGTCTCATGCACTAAATACCCACGGAAAATTCACTAACGTTTCTATAGTTTATCATGGAAACCGGAAGGATTTTAAAATCTAGAACGAGGCGCGATGGTGCAAAGAATCTAGGACAGTGCTCTCGTGTTACAAACCAGGATGCCAGGACCCAGAGGTGTGACCTGGAGGTCTGACCTACATTCCCTGCAAGGTCCTTGCTCGCTCTAAAGTTTCCTGAGTCGGCAGCTTTAGAAGTCATGGAAACCGTCCCTGCTTTAAATCACGCAGTTTTTTTAGCCTTGCAGACCTGGGTACTAAGCAAGCACGGGCTAAATCAAGTCTTCAGGGTTTGTATCTAAAAGGCCTCACTCCCCAAAGAAGCCTCTGACTCCATTGCTTCACCGGTAGCTGGGACCCTTTCTAACTTATTTTGAAACAATTATAGACTCTCCAGAAGTAGCAATATCAGTAAAATGATCCCATGTAACCATATGTATCCATACCCCTTAGGTAGCTGTAATACATCCTCAGAATCGGGAAATTGTGTTGACACAACACCATCCACCGGAGCTCAGGCCTCACTGGGATTTCACTGGGCTTTGAATGCACCCATTGTACTTGTGTTTGTGTGTACAGTTCTGTGACATTTTATGGGACGTCTAGGTTCCTATCATCGCTGCAGTTGATAAAGGAACCTGTCCCGAGCAGGAAACTCCGCCTCCCCCCTGCAGCCACACCCTCCCCTTCCTAACCCCTGATCATCTGGTCTCCAGGGCTCTAAAATCTCGTCCTTTGGAGAATGCTAGATAAAAGGAATCACTCGGTCCCCTGGCTGGTCTGGCTCGGCAGTTAGAGCGTCAGCCCTCAGACTGAAGGATCCTGGTTTCGATTCTGGCCAAGGGCACGTACCTCGGTTGCAGGCTCCATCCCCAGCTCTGGTCAGGGCTCCTGCAGGAGGCAACCAATCGATGTCTCTCTCTCATATCAATGTCTATCTCTCCCCCCCCCCATGTCTCTGTCTCTCCCTTCCACTCTCTCTGGAAAGCAATGGGAAAAATATCCTCAGGTAGGGATAAAAAAATAAAAGGAATCGCTCCGTTTGTACCTTCTCAATTAGCTTCTTCACTGGGCATAATCACACCCTTAAGATCTGGGCAGGTTACTGTATCAACAGTTTGTGCTTTTACGTTTCATTTTAAAAGAAACAAACTGACATTTAAATTTTCATTTTGCAACTTGCAAAGAAAACATGGGACATTTACCTGCATGTGACACCTCTGTAAATATTTTGGTTTTGCATTTGGGGACTACTTTTTAATGTTGACAATTACATAAATGCAGGTTTACACAAACTTTTCGGGGCTCGTTTTTAGCTTGCCTAAGCACTCGAAGTATTTTTTTTTTTCCTTTAAATGGCAAACTATTGCATTATAGATGAGCAAGATACACCCGTGATGAGAGGAAACCAAGGAGAAGCTACCTTGGACTTTATCCTATCGGCTTCTGAATATGCTAAATTTAATGCACATTATGCAGGAGGAGGGGCTTCTGAGCACATGGGTCACTGTCTGATGAGGTCAGGTCCAGGGGTCCCGGGGCCGAGGGAAAGCACAAGGTCACCTGCCGGGTGGCCTACAGGAAGGAGCTGGGCACCCATGCACCCATGCACCTTGGGTCTCGCTGCTGTTCCAAGCAGTCTGGGCTCACTGGGGAAGCATCTGGCCCCAGCTCAGACAGAATCACGTTAGGCCAGTAGCACTTATATCTGGCTGATGTTACCTCGTTTCTGTCTCTTCCTCACCTATCTGGTTGGGGTTGAGGGGTTCCATCTCTCCCACGAGCTTCTTCTACAAAGGCCTCCCCCTGTGCGCTCGCATAGACTCGGGAGCCCAAGGAATTTATATATATATAAGATTTTTAAATATTGGTATTGATTTCAGAGAGAGGAAGGGAGAGAGAGAAAACATCAGTGATGAGAGTCATTAATCGCCTGCCTCCCATGCGCCCCCTACTGGGGATCGAGGAGCCCACAACCCGGGCCTGTGCCCTGACTGGGAATCGAACCGCGACCTCCTGGTTCATAGGTCGATGCTCAACCGCTGAGCCACACCAGCCAGGCAGGAATTTTTATATTTATTACAGAGAGAGTCGAGCATCCATCCTGCCTGTTTCCATAAACACAGACGACTAGCAATTAATGCGTTTGGTTCAAAAGCCTTCCAACATTTGTATGCCCATTTGCACATTTAAATGGCTCCGTGTAACAGCCAAGCAGGTGGTTAACTATATGTATATTAAATTCATAGAGAAGCTGGTAATTTTCTGTTATAATTGTCAGCTAACAGTTTACATGGTAAGAATTTTCTGAATAGACCCATTAGCTGATTTAGTTAGTCGGGGTTTTTTATAAATCATGTTTTATTTGCTTGTTCCACTTACAAAGGAGGAATTTTCAGTGTTCTCCCACGAATCAATAAATATTTACTTTGGTCTTTATTTCCCCCGAAACGCCAAGTTTGACAATGAATGAAATATCGTCCGGTTTCCCTAAACAGCTGTTTGCATGCGGCTGTTTTATTTGTCGTTTTGTTTAGTATTATGACTCAGATAATGGCTTAAAAAGTTTTATTCATTTGCTATTAATTTGTTTTTATAAATAAAATCAAGAGAGGGCTGAATCGCAGTTCCTTGGAATTTTACAACGTATTTGTACTTTCCTGGCAATATCTTTTGACAATAGAAACTTCTGAGCCAATGAAAACCTGTCCCATTTGTCTAAATGATACCCTGTAAAAGCCAGACTCTGAAGCAGATAGCACTGACTTGTGCGTAATAAGACTTGATGTCATTTTTGTCACCGTCGATAATATCTCTCTTTCCTGGGCAAGAGACATCATTTGGCTTTTATGGCCCAGAAGGCGACGGGAGACGCCAGGCCTGTGAGGCGCTGGGAGCCGTTCTCAGAAGTCGCTTCAGCGTCCTCAAACCCCTGCCATTCCCTCTCATCGTTCCTGGATTTCTCCTTGAAAACAGAATCGGACAGGATCGTGTCGTCCCCACAGCATGTCAGGGGGGCTCGTGGAGGACTTTCAGGCAGTTTCCAAATGCCTGGAACTCCAAACCGTCTCTCCCTAGTTCTGCGTATCTGGGATGGGGAGCTCCCATTCTCAACACCCCCTCTCCTCGGCCCCTCCATCCTGTCCTGTCCTGTCCTGTCCTGTCCTGTCCCAGGCATCTGGGCGTGAACTCCTTCAACCACATAAGAGACGGGAGGCGGGTCCAGCCAGGGGGACTTTTCTTGTTGTTGTTTTTTTCCTCCCCACCCGAGGATATTTTTTCCATTGCTTTTCAGAGAGAGTAGAAGGGAGAGAGAGAGGAGCATCGATGTGGGAGAGACACATGATCGGTTGCTTCCCAAACAGGCCGCAGTTGGGGTCAGGGATGGAGCCTGCAACCGGGGACCCTTCAGTCCTCGGGCCGACGCTCTAACCACTGAGCCGTACCAGGTAGGGCCAGCCAGGTGTTTTTTTTATATATATATAGTAAACAGAAGGGCTATGTGACTGGACCTGGCCCGTCAGCTCTGATGACCAATGCCTTCAGGATATCAGAGAGAGGCGAGACTCGGGGGAGAATCTCCCCGAGTTACTCAGCTACATCCCCGAGAGGCACTGGGTCTCAGATCCCCAGGACACGTCACTGACCCTCTGGTACCCCAAACGAGCCCTCCTATCCCGTCCTGCAGCAGCTCTGGGGGGCCAGCGTGGCCACCGTGTAGGACCCCGGTGGGGGGATAACCCCACTGAGCATGGGTGGCAGAACCATCGGGAGAGGAGTGTGGGGGGGTTAGGAGGTGAGGCCGTGGGGAGGGCTGTTTTTAATATTTCTCTAAAAGACCTCAGTACTCAGCCTTGAAGGTCGAGGCATTAGCAGCAGCCGATATGCTATCAGCGTCGGGCAGAAAAATGAGGGAGAAAAAATAAGGCAATGTCACCTTGCGTGAGGACGTCTGTCTGCAGCAGAAACTGAAGCTTTTAAAAACCGTAGTTTTACCAACATTATCTGGATTTTCGAGATCATTTTAGGCGTGATTCTGGATAGGTCAACAATGTCCCTGCCACATGCCTGTTGAGCCTACTGCCGGAACATTCTGGAAACAAACGCCTGAGCCCAGGTCAAGTCTTTGGGTAGGTTGGTGCCTGAGCCCCACAGGGTTCAGTCAGGACGTCCAGCTGCAGGAGGCCTCGTGAGCAACTATCAGTGTGGCTTTTTTACGCCAACAGTTTACACAGTTTATCTCACTTGAGCCTTAAGACAACACCACTGGTGGTTATTAGGATCGCTGACCCTTCACAGGTGGGAAATCCCAAGTTCAGAAAGCATAGGGAATGTTTTCCAGTTCTCCAAGGTAGTGAATGTTGGGATTTCGTGTGAAAGCCAGGCTTTGTGGACTTGGGAGCTGAGGGTCCTTCCTTCCCACCGGGGCACCTCCCAGTGCTGAGAGGGCCCCAGGGGAGAAGCCTGGGTGCAGAGGTATCAGGCCGGCTGGCAGAGCCCCAGCGCCTCCCGCTGCCCAGGCCCCAGGGAGTCAGTCACCTTGGGAAGGGGGAGGCAGGTCAGAGGCGAGGGGCTGGCGGCCACCCTGAGGGCTGAGGGCAGCGGAACACGGGCAGCTTGCGTCTCAGCCCTCTGCAGGACACAGGTGAGCGATGCCCAGGAGAGTCGTCACATCTGTCCCTGCGAGGGGCTGAGTGGCTGCCTCTTTGGCTTGTAAAAGTGAAGGTGTAGCCCAGGCTGGACACACGAGCGCACAGACGGGAAGGTCCACCGAGCTCTCTGTCTTCCAGCGAGTCCAAGGATGCCTGCGGGAGGCCGCGCGCTGCAGGCCCGCCGCGGGGGAAGCAGCCCAGGGGAGGGGGCTTCGGCGGCTGTCACGGCTCCTTTCTTGCTCGTGACCGTGTACCTCTCCATGTGTGCACTGTGGGGAGGCATCCAAAGGGCCACGGCCTTCATTTTCTTTCTATTATCACAACCTCGGGCCTCTTCCCATACGCGCCACCCCCCCACCCCCCGTGCATGAAACAGAACTCCCCTTTCCCTCCTGCAGGGGGCGGGCTTCCGAGCTCAGGTAGAAGGGACCCAAGAGATCACAGAAACCAGTGCACCCATTTATAGGCGAGGACACTAGGGCTGGAGACCTTGGGGAGTTTGCCCAAGGTCGCTGAGCATGTCCTACTCCCTGGCATTTTCCACTGCTAACACTGCAGCTGACATTGAGTGTTTTTAAGAGTTGAGACACTGGCTGTGCGTACACTGAGATAAAAAGCAAGTCTGGCCCGGCCGGCGTGGCTCAGCGGTTGAGCATTGACCTATGAACCAGGAGGTCGACGTTCGATCCCCGGTCAGGGCACATGCCCGGGTTGCAGGATCGATCCCCAGTCGGAGGGCATGCAGGGGGCAGCCGATCAATATTTCTATCTCTCTTTATCCCTCATCTCTCTGAAATCAATAAAAACTTTTTTTTTTTTAAGTTTATTTGATCTCTCCGTAGAGTTTAACAACAGGTCGACAGCAACACCCAAGCAAGCAGAAATAAATGTGTCCACCGAGACGGGACTCTGGCCTGTGTTGGACAAGCTGCTGAGTTGTTTCCCTGTCGTTTTTGCCCATCTCTGGGCCACAGTTGTTTGGGTGGACCCCTCCTGTTTTTCAGGAACCACACCGTCTTCTAGGAATTCACACCATGACAGGTTTGGGGAGGGAATGCCACCCTGTCCTCCGACTTCCTTCTCTCTGGCTGTTTTTGAGAATTCAGGTCAGTCTCTATCTCCAGATCTTCTTCCCACTCACTGGCTACTGGATTTCAGGTTCGGTTTCCCCCTGGGGACACAGCGCAAACGTGGTATAACCGGGTCACCCTCTGACGTCAATTGCTTCTTGTCTCTTTGTCAAAGGCGCCCAGCTTGACTCTCACAGCACAAGGGATGGGTGTCAAGTCGGGGAAACCTGAGCAAGCCTCCCAGGGATCTAATCCTTGGGAACCGGTTCCGGCTCGGACAAGAACAAAGGGTATTCGTGACCCTGCCGGACAGCGTTTGCGTGAGAATGAGAGGTAGATAGTCAGGAATTTCTTCTCTCAGGGCCACCGACGTGGCCCACAAAGACTTCCACCACCCAGGTCTTGAAGTTGCTTTGGGGGCCAGCTTACAAACTGGGCAGGAAAACAAATCTGACGACTGTCCCCTGCCGGCTGCAGTTCCCCCTTTTTGGCTCTGCACCGTGGCGACGGCTGGTTTCTGAAAGACCCGTTTAAGAACTTGCTGGCAAGTCAGCAATTCTGCCCGAGGCTCTTTCTGGGAATTCCCACAGTGCTCCGAGCACGTCATTGGTGGGAAATTTCCCATCCAGTCTGGCTGGGAAGGCGTCCAGGTCCCTGGGCCCGGAAACAGGTTGGAGGGGTTGCCGACCACCTCGGCCCATAAAACACACACAATCTGCCTGCAACTTAAAAACCAACATCTCCCCATCCCTAAAACAAGCCACCTCGGATCTCCACCTGCCTATTTAGTCTATAAGGCAAAAAGCAATTTAACGGGCGGTTGCCCTGTCTTTGAAATAAGAGGGCGCGATGACACTCAGCCCAGGGCCACCCTGGGAAAGGGAGACAGACTCTCACTGCTCCTAAGGAAACCCCCAGAGGCAGCAGGGAAATTCCCTGGACGGGAGCAACTCCAGAAGTGGCCTCTTAGGGTTTTGTTTGGGCAGAAAATGCCTCTGTCTCTCTGATTGAAAGCTTCCTCACGTTTGATAAAAACAAGGTCTGTAACAAAATCACAGGAGAGCGTTTAACTACCAGCTCCTCCAAATGGCGTGTCTGGGCAACATAAATGAGCAAGTTCTTTCTTTCCTTCTCAGCGGAGGCTCCGATGTGGGAAACAGCACATTCGTGGAGTGTGTGCTGAGCATCGGGGCCTGTGCTGGGTGTCAGTTACTCAGAAGTAATAAGACCAGAGCCCGGCCTCAGATTTTACAGCGTCATGCAGCAGGTAGGCACCAGGTCTCCAGTGAGGGCTGCTGTGGCCGGATGCCCAGGTGCCCGGGGATTCCCCCAGGAGAGTTTCCCTCGGGAAAGCTTCCTGTAGCCGGTCCTGCTGGAGTTCATACCTGAATGCTGAGTCAGGACTGGCCTTGTGATGACAAGTGGGCAGAGCAATTCGGGAAGAGGCAGGATTGTCAAGAAAGGTAAGACAGCCCACAGAGAGCAGAAGGCCTGGGGCTTTCTGGGTGCACAGCCCTTGAGACGAAGCAATAGTGGGGGCTGGGGAGGCAGACAGACGGGTCAGACGGGGGAAGGCGGGGTCAGATCTGCAATGCAGGTTGTTGAGATCAAACTGAGACAGGGAAGTTTAACAAAGGCAAAAAGTTAAAAAAAAAAAAGACCAGGCATGGCACGATGGGGACATCCCCAGTGACACAGTGGCAAATGTATCCCGATCCACCTGGACACATAGCATCTGCATCGGAGCTTTAGGCTTCAGAGCTGCACACCCAAGCTCGGATGTTTCTAAGATGAGGGACCCAGGAAGTGGGTGCGCCCACCGCCTCGGAAAAGAAACTATCTGATTGGTGTGGCCCTCGGTGACCTCTGTGACTAACCCGCCAAGGCTCTACCTGGGTGTAGGAGATAATGACTGGCTCCTAGGGCCTCTTGATGATTAACCAACAAAAGGAACAAAGGGATCCCTCACATTGAGGACACGCAGGAGGGGCGTCTATTTTAAACCACCAGGAAAGGCTGACTAGGGAGAGGATTCACTGGGTTTCGAAAACAGCAGTGTTTCCATACAGTGAGGCATCCGAGCACTGACTGGTGATCATCAGTCACCTGAACCATCCTTCTGGAAAGACCAAACTAGTTCTTTCTTTCTCCATCTGCCCACCCTCCTCTCCGTTTTATTTTATTTTTTTTTTTTTTGTTTAATTTTATTTTTGTTTAAAATATTACAGATGGCCCAGCCGGGCGTGGCTCAGCGGTTGAGCATTGACCTAGGATCCAGGAGATCTCGGTTGGATTCCCGGTCAGGGCACAAGCCCGGGGTGCGGGCTCCTTGATCCCCAGCAGGGGGCGTGCAGGAGGCAGCCGATCAATGACTCTCATCATTGATGTTTCTATGTCTCTCTCCCTCTCCCTTCCTCTCTCTGAAATTAATAAAAAACACTAAAAAATTATAAAATAATAAAACAAAATAATAAAATAAAATAAAATAGGTGTGTCTCTAGATGACCTACTCATGCCAGTGGCTGGCGCAGACACTAATTTAGGAACCCTGTGTGTTCTCATTCCAATTTAAATACATTAGTGTTAAGCAAGGTAAGAACAATCTCTTCATAGCAGGCATATCCCCACTGGGTATTCATTTTACGATTTGCTCAGCTGCTGGGTCCAAATCTCCCAAATGTTTGGCTCTTGTACCAAGGCCTATTTCAGGGTCATGGAGCCTCTCTCCCATCAAATCCGAACCAAAGATGCCACCAGGAAATGGACTCAGCAACCTCTGGGACCCTTTTAATCCACATGATGGGCAGTTTTCAGAGCTGGAGGCCTGGGGAAAAAAAACAAAACAACCCATGAAAGGACAGGAAGAGTGAAATCAGATTTTAATGGAATTGCTGCGACGTGTTAGTCAGGATAGTTATGCATGGAATTAATTGTTGTAACCATAGCAACAGGATAGCGGGCCCTGTGGGGGCAGGACAGGGCTTCAAAGCACAAGCGGTGGGGACTGCAGAAAACAATTCCTCCTCCCGAGGTCGTCCAGAGGGCCTCACACTCTTCAGCAGCCCCAAGTAAATCTAGTTAATAATATTTGCCTAGATTCATGCAGCGTTTCTTACCCCAGAGGGCCCCAGGGATGCCTCCTAAGCCTTGAACATGAGTGTGCATTTGGAATAACATATCGGGCCAGGTTTTCCTAATGTGTTTGTGCACAACCCTCTGGTGGTTTGGTCCCCGCCTTCGGAAGCCCCATCGACTTCAGGATACAGGAAGGTGGTGGTTCACTAAATGGCACCCTTACAGGGCCAGGGTCCAAAGCACCAGCTCAAGGAGGGGAAGAGGGGGCTCCTGAGATAGCATTCATGTGTTTGTTTGTTTTTTAAATACATTTTCACTGATTTCAGAGAGAGAAAGGGAGAGAGAGAGGAACATCAGTGATGAGTCATTGATTGGCTGCCTCCCACACTCCCCCTGCTGGGGATGGAGGAGCCTGCAACCCGGGCCTGTGCCCTGACTAGGAATCGAACCGTGATCTCCTGGTTCAAAGGTTATGGTTAATTAAATTGTGACACATCCATCTGATGGAACATCGTGAAACCATTTAAATGATGTTGATGAAGAATTTTTAGTAAAGAAAAGTATTTATATCATAAATACATGTGGAGAAAACAAGATGCCAATTTCTATAGATGGTGAGGTTATGGGCTAAATAACAAAGTTACTGAAAAGAAGTCTAAAGGGGAACATAGAGCTCAGTTAACTTTCTTTGTCCACAGGAAAACAAATGCTGGGTGGTTATTTGTCTGGAGCGGACATAAATGGTTTCCACACAAGACTTTTTTTTTCTTTCTCTGTTCCATTTAAATGTATAATAAATAGGACGCATGATACAAAATTACAGCTCAGTTAAGGACACTTCATTGAAGAGGTGAAAGTCACCTTGAACGGAAAACAGCAACATGTGCTGCCCAACACACCGAGAGGGTACAACGCATTTTCATTGACTCAGACCTTCCTTCCACACTTACTGGGAAATCCTGCCTATTTGGAAGAACTGAGATTCAATGTCTATACTAACTGGACGCTTTTTGTCATCCCCTCCTCCCCGTCCCCCGAGTTTGAATGTGGAAAGTGATGGCGACATGGGCACCTGGAGTAGGTGGGACCGGTCGAGGGGGAGAGAGAGGCCGATTCCATTGGGTGGGGAGTCAGGATTCTGGCAAAGCACAAAGCCCTGAGAAGAAGTCCAGTGAAGAGACGGTGCACGTCAGTTTTACTGCTTCAAGTAACTACTATTTATTGAGCACCTACTATGTGATGGGCACAGAGTAGGTGCTCATAGAGTTTTGTTTTGGAGCAGGGGTGGGGGAAGGTCTGGCCCACGGGTGGCAAAATCCTTTGGTTTGGCCCTGGCCAAGGCAACCGCAGACGGAAGAGTGGGCTTTAGGGTCACATGGGACTCCACACCCATGGGTGCCATTTCACCCCGGATGATCCTTCTTTCCTGCCAGGGTGACTCAGATCAAAACCACCTTGGAGAACACCCCAGAAGCAGGGGCAGGGTCAAAGAGCGTGAGCTAATAAACAAATCAGGTTTCTGCCTCTCCCCCTCCCGGAAACCGGCTTCTCTGCAGCCCCTGTTCCACTGTGTGGACAAAAAAGAAGCCGCTGTCTCTTCAACAGCCTGCTCATCCCTCTACCCTCCCTTCCACTCATCGGCATTTGCATGTGAAAATTACCTTCCTCGGCTCCCAAATTGATGTTTGCATGTGCAAGGAGAGAGGCCCGGGTCTTTGAAGCCCGAGAACACATTGGTATAAGAAGTAATTATTACTCCCGTGCCCGTGCTCGTCCTCACACGTCAGAGTGAGCCGAGGAGAAACCACAGGCCGCAAGCGCTCATCTCACCCGAGCCGGGTGCGGGGCCCTGACAGAGAAGCAGGCACCACCGCCCTCGGGTGCAGGCCCTACCAAACCTCTGCCCGGCCAGGCCACTTTACCCCCCGGGTTTGCCCGGCTCACGTCACCATCTGGTATCAGCTCTTTCCCTTCGAGGCAACATGGATGGACCCACAGAGCATTATGCCGAGCAAAATAAGCCAGTCAGAGAAAGACAAGTATCACATGATCTCACTTACACGTGGAATCTAATGAACAAAGTAAACTGATGTACAAAATAGATCCAGAGACACAGAAGCTTGGAACAGACTGAGGGATCTCAGGGAAGGCGGAGAGGGGCAAGTGGGTGGGAGAGATTAACCTAAGAACTCATATGCATATGTGCATAACCCATAGTGCGGTGGAGGCCTGGGCAGGGGGCGGATTCGGCGTGGAAGGTATCAAAGAGGAGAGGAAAAGGGGACATCTGTAATACTTTTAACAATAAAGATAAGTTTAAAATAATAATAATAATTCCAGAATGTGCTGAGGCCCCACATCAAGCTAACCTTGCCAGTCCACGTAACCATGACCAGGCCCAGAGGCCCATCCTGGCTCCGAGTCTCCAACTTTTGCCAAAACCCAGACACCAGACAGAGAGGAAAGTTTTGCCAAGACTCACACTCCAGCTACAAGATACACTTGAATCCAAACACACATATTCCTATCAAAAAAATCAAACAAAACATTCAAAGGCGCTTCATCCTGTTCCCCACCATGGAGAAGGCACCAAGAGCCACAATTAGTAGGAGCACCTCGCTCAGCGTCACTTTAGAAACTGGCCTACCCACAGTTCAGGAGTGTGGTGAAAATCCAAAAGAGTGGTGCTAATGGCTAAGACGCCCCAAGTCCTCCTTGTGGGCTAAGCACCCTTAACATCTTAATTCATTTTATACAGTCACAACCCACCTATGAAGTGAGGAGTATCATTAACATGCCCAGTTCATAGGCAAACACTGAGGTACAAAGAGGTTAAGTAACTTGCCAAAGGCCACCGTGAGTAAGTGACAATGCGCGGACATGGACCCAAAAAGCCGCCCTCCAGAGCACAGCCTTCTTTTCGCAACTAATCGTGACTAGTGTTTTGATGACTAATTTATTTATTTTTTTAATTGATAAGTGAAGTCAGCATAAATGTTGGAATAAAGACTTCCAACATTCCGTTCTCCATAGAAGGAATGAGAAAGTTGACAAAAATGGGCCGTGTCAACTGTTTTCAAAACTCCAGAAATTCATCAGAGGCGTACAGCCACTGGAAGGTATGTGTTTTTTTAAAAAACGGCAAAGACCAATGAGCTTCGTGGGTTTTTCACTTGCTTTAGTCCCAGGGCTCACTCTCCAGCCTGTAGTGGCCTTGAGAAATGACAGCCCACCTATCCAGGGCAGCCTTGGAGCCACCAGAGGGAGCACATGGAGTTGGAGCTGTTTCCAAGCCTCCTTCCCCCAAAAACTGTTGTTACCTGGCTGTATGGTGGTGTGTGGGTTTTATTGTGTTTGGTGGTTTTTTTTGGAAGACTCCACTTGCAAGGCTATTTGTATTTGAACCGATTTAGAGACTAGCTTGCTCCAGGCATTTGAGGAAACCTGTGCAATCAGCTGGCCACAAAGCAATCCAAGTACAGACTTCAGTGGCCACAAGACTAATAGCTGATTTCTCATCAGAAGCCATGGAGGCGAGAGGACATTGGATGACATATTCAAAGTGCCAACGGGGGGGAGAAATGTTGGCCAAGAATTCTATACCCAGCAAAATTATCCTTCAAAAATGAAGAAATTAGGACATTCCCACACAGACAAAAACTGAATGTGTTACTAGACTTGCTCTACAAGGAGTCCTTCAAACTGAAAGGACATTAGAAAATAATTCTTTATCTCCAGATAAAGAAAAAAAGTATACCAGGAAAGGTAACCACAGACATACCTCGGAAATATTGCGGCTTTCATTCCAGATCACCACTATAAAGCGAATATCGTAATAAAGCAAGGCACAATTTTTTTGGTTTCCCAGTGCACAGAAAAGTTACGTTTACACTCCGCCATAGTCTAATACGCGTGCAATAGCATTTAAAAAACAACAAGCACACAGTAATTTAAAAATGACTATAAAATTCTTACCAGTATCTGAGCCATCAGCGCGTCGTAATCTTTTCGCTGGTGGAGGGTCTTGCCTTGACGTTGATGAAGTATCTGCAATGCACACAATAAAGCAAAGCTCAGTGAAATAGGGTACACCTGTCCATAGGTAGATATAAAACACAGTATACATGTATTTTTGCTTACAACTCTTTGTGCCTCCTATCTGATTTAAAACAAAACTGCATGGTCAGACTTATAAGTCTATGTTGATGGGCACACACGTGTCAAGATGTCATTTTTAATTCCAGCACAAAGGATGGAAGAGGGAGCACAGCTACATAGGAGCAAAGTCTTTGCACACTATCGTAATTAAGTTGGTATTAACACAATTAGATTGACCTTAGAGTGTATCTAACGGAGTGGAAAAGGCAAAAGGTCTGCCCTCGATTATTTCATTCCCCAGCAAGGGAGGTAATACAACTGTCCTTAGAAGATATGCAGATAAATTGCCCCAGGAATCCAACCATGGTAGGGGTTTCTCCTGAACACAGTGATGGGAAGGTTGACTGGAAAAGGGAATGGCGGGTCCACAGGTATGCGACGGTGTCCTGTTCCCCTCTCACACATCCTTCGTGTTAGCTGCCAAAGTGATCTTTCTACAATTTGACCTGGTGGCCCTGGTCGGCGGTTAGACTCAGGTGGTTAGAGCGTCGTCCCAATACCCTGACATTGTGGGTTTCATCTCCCATCAGGGCACATACAAGAAGCAACCAATGAATGCACCAGTAAGTGGAGCAACAGATTGATGTTTCTCTCTCTCTCTCACTCAAAAAAAAAAAATCAAATAAATAAATTACAATAAAACAAAACCCACTTCGTGGCTCTCATGGCCCACAGCATTCCCACAAAGTCGTACAACATCAAGCATGCCGCAAGCAATGAGCTCTCGGCCAGTACTTCATGAAACAACTCTTGGAGACTCAAGTCACATGTTGACCCAGTAAAGGCTCTGAGAGTTCTCCATTGGAAAAGCCTCCCAGACTTCTCAGGTCCTGCTTGTCTCAAGTGCACTGGACCCCAGGACGCTTTTTCCCCTTCAAATTGCTTTTGTCCACTCTGAGGTGCTGCTGTGGTCCACACCAGGAATGGCTGACCTACCTACCGGATAATGCCCACCTGGAAAAGGAGAGTAAACATCCCCCCGGGCCCCTCCAGGAGGGAACACAGCTCTGCCAATACCTGACCCTCAGCCCCAGGAGACCCGCGTGGCGCTCCTGACCTCCACAACTGTAAGGTAACAGGTCCGTGTTCAAGCCCCAAAGCCCGTGGGAATGGTTTACAGCAATGACAGGAAACGCAGGCACCTAGGGGCATCAGAAATGGAAAATTACCCCAAATCGCTCCTCGGCTCTCTGGTTTCTGGCTGGTAATCAGTTTCCCATTTAGGCTGAATTGCTTTTCCTCGCTGCAGAGCAGACAGTGGCTGCTCACAGGCTCATTAATATGCATAAAGGGTGGCGAAAATAGTCGCCACAGGTAACCCCTCTCTGGCTGTGTGAACTGAGCTAATGCGAGGGGCGCAGTGAGCGGGGCGGGGCGAGTCCAAGTCCCCATTTCAGACGAGGAAATAGTTGAATAGTATGGAAATACACTGATGCTATTAGCGAGATGTCAGGTTTGACAGCCTGTGTTGTGGTGAAAATAAATGAGTTTCGACACAAATAACTTCGGTATGCATTGACTTTTTTAAAAAAGCAAATCTTGTAACAAGATGTTATGCGCTGTGCTGTAGGTTTACAAAGATTTTGATGGCTGCAGCCCAACACGGATGGGTGGTAACAGTGAGCTGTAGTCACCAGCCACCCATCACACATGAGGTCTTAAGAGGCTATTTGTTGCCAGTATGTTCTGAAATGTATCTAGAAGGAATAACATCGTTGCACCCAACGTAGGGAATAGCATCAAAATGATAACACCAAAGCAAGGGCTCATCCATTAAATAGGTGAGCATATAATAACAGCTTTCATCTTGCCCAGCCGGTGTTGCTCAGCGGTTGAGCGTCAACCTATGAACCAGGAGGTGGTGGTTCGATTCCTGGTCAGGGCACATGCCCGGGTTGCATGCTCCTCGATCCCCAGTAGGGGGCACACAGGAGGCAGCCCATCAATGACTCATCATTGATGTTTCTCTCTCCCTCTGCCTTCCTCTCTGAAATCAATAAAAACATATTTTTTAAAAATAATGCTGATAACATCTCCACGGCTCCTCTACAGCTATTCTGCCCTGCCCTGTTCCAGAAGAAACCCACAGCTCTCCTGTTCCTTCCCCCCTGCTTGGTTATGGAGCCCTCCCCACAAGCCTGCAGGGTCGTCGGCCCACATCAAGTTATGACAAGGGCTTCCCCCCAGAACCACGCTGGGCGGCCCAGGCACGAAGCCACAAGAACCGCAGTGACAGGCTCATTTAGAAACAAATTGGGGGTTAAGTAAAAAGTGCATGGCAGAGGCGAAACCGCGTTTCCCTTTCCCCCTTCCTGTCAGTTAGAATTAGAAAGTGCCTCCGAGCCGTGGATGTCGAGGGTCTGAACGGGGGATGTCGCTCGGGCCGCCTCTAATGGAAACCTGGATAAATGGAGTGGAAAGCCGCGTCCAATCCAATCAAAACACGAAGAAGGTATTTTGACATGTAAATTGCAAACTTCCTGTGTATTTTGTCTCCCCAATTACACCCTCCCCTGTCATGTTTTTTGTTTTTAAATTATATCTTAATCTCCCAGTCTCCTAATAATTATGTCATCATTCTTGGGCCCTGAACACTGTGTAATGGTATTTTATGGGATATGTCATTCATTATTAGCTAAATGCACTCTCCGTCCCCACTGATACCATAGCTCATGGTGCTCAAATGCGCCTGCTGTCAGCTTCCGCTCTGCAAACACTGCGGCCGTCCACGCTCTGCCTCACGGTGACATGGACGTGAGTGTGCAGAGCACTTTTGGACAGTTAATCCAACGCCTCAGTATTTGATATGGGAATGCCCAGTGCCTTTTTTTTTTTTTAACGGGACAGGTGATTGGTTTAAAATATAAATTGCTCATCGTTGGAGCTCACTGGAAAAAATGCCAAGCACAGAGATTCCACGGCTGCTGTTCAGACCACACACACACAAAAAGAAAAGACAATCTGATGTCGCGAAGCACCAGTAAATACTGTTACCGATTGTTCCTAAGCAAGAGAAAACCTTAGAGGTCACCTGCCCTAGGCCCCTGGATTCACAGGTGAGAAATATGACAGCTCCCAGGTAAAAGGATTTCTCTAGGTTTCTCTGTTCACTAGAGGCGGAAACAGAACAAGATTTCCCAGGGCACCCATGGGGCTGCACCAGGTTCCTGTCAGCCCCTGCCAGGAGCCCCATGCAAGGGCTAATTCCATTCTAGAGCTAATTGCATTCTAGAACTAATTGCATTCTAGAGCCCCATTACCTTCCAGAACTAATTGCAATCTAGAGCTAATTGCATTCTAGAGCCCCATTACCTTCCAGAGCTAATTGCATTCTAGAACTAATTGCATTCTAGAGCCAATGCAATAACACCTAAACCCAACCCCCTCCCAAAATAAAAATAAAAAACAAGAAGAAAAGCCAGGTAGACAGCAACACGTCCACCGCTGTCTTCTTCAACAAACAAACAAAAGGAAACAGATAATTGTCTTTTCTTGGATTGTCAAAAGCGACCTAAATAAGAAGACAGTGACTCACCCGTTGGTCATCAAGAATACTGTTCATTATTCTCAAAAAAACACAGTTTGGAGGAACAAGGAAAGCGATTCGGGGGACCCTACAGCAGTGTCCGGGGCGCTGCTGATTTTCTACTTCCCGGCATAGGTGGGGGTTACAGAGTGTGCTCACTTTAATATTTGTGCAGCCCGGCCGGGCATGACTCAGCGGTTGAGCCTTGACCTGGGATCCAGGCGATCGGGGTTCAATTCCTGGTCGGGGCACATGCCCAGGTTGCGGGCTCGATCAATGACTCTCTCATCATTGATGTTTCTGTCTCTTTCTCTCCCTCTCCTTTCTTCTCTCTGAAATCAATAAAGATATATATATATTTTTTAATTGTGTATTTTTCTACGTGTATAGGATACTTCAAGATACAGGGATTTTTTTTTTAAGTGGTTGAAGGGAAGAGAACAGAGGCAAATGTGAGTGGGGAGCTGGCTCAGATGACCTTAGGGGTGCAACACCTAAACTCATCTTTTATGTGAGAATCACAGAGCTGGAACACACCTGGGGGATCACTAACATTTGGGAGAAGATTTTGCGGCAACATTTCTTGGAGCTCCCCAGAGAAAACAGCTCAGTGTCTATCTCAGCGGGGAGGCCGGTGAGTTGGGCCGGGGGCAGCTGACTGTCAGCTGAGCTCCGTCCCCCACGAACGAACGTGTTTTCTCCTTGGATCTATAACCTTTCTCACCATCCGGGAGACTGAGGCCTCAACTCAGAAGGTAACAAACACATTTCTTTTCCTGAACCGCCCTGTCCCAACACGTTTCCACAAACTAGGAACAAACCCGAGAGACCCTGGAGTGTTGCCACCCCATCCACTGTGGGGAGACACCGTGTCCGTCCAGGACATTTCTGTGTGCCTAGCAGCCCGCCAGCTCTCTGCAGGCCCTTGCAAACATCTGGCTGGTGCGGAAACCCGGCCTCCTAACTGCTCCGTTAAGTCGAGCGGTCTAGACGGCAGGACTAGAACCCTGTGCTTTTTTTTTACACTCCATAAACCCCTATCTGAGTGCAGGTGAGGGTGGCCGTAAACATAAGAACCACCCGAGCGGGAATGGCCTTTCATTCTTTGATGATCACGAGCTAATTAAAACAGAAGCCGAACATAACTCAGCTCTTTAATGGAGGTCGCCAGATGTGTTATTACGCGACCCTGCTCGGTATGAAGTCCGCGCGTAATAACTATAATTTTTTTTATTTCGCGGGGCAGCCCTGCTAGAGTGAAGGGCGTGTCTTTCTTTTGATTACAAGGCCCACGTTTTAAGGAGGGGGCGGGTGGGGGGAAAGATGATAGTTAACCACTGAAAACATGTTCTCTGGGCATTGAAACTATGATTAATATAAGCCCCGTCCAGGAGCGAATTCTTGGGGGCCCCGCACACTATAGTTACGCTCCTTGCCAAAGACACATTTTTTGCTGGAAGCATAATTACTGGCTTTTAAAAGTCACCTTTCATCACAGCAACCCTCAGCGCGCTCTCTACGGCGTTGGAGGGCCATTACAAATCACAGGGAGGGTAAGAGCTTTGACCACCAGCCATCACTTAAAAAGCCCTTCAGTGGCTGGAGCAGGGAGGTCAGCCTTGCAGGGCCCGCCCCTCCTTAGCCCGGAAGCCACGGGGATCTTTGCCCAGTGGGGTGGCCCTAGCAAGTGGTGCAGGAACTCAGAGCCCCTGGAACTGGCTACACATTGCCCTATGGTGTGTTTAGCAGGTACCGAGTACACCTGGGCATCCAATAGGCACAACTCCACACACAACGCCCTTAGTGGGGCCAGGAGATTATTTCAGCTCTCAGCTACAGGATGGGCACTCTCAAATGCTGTCCCCCAACTCAGGGGTCTTGCAGGACTCACCTGGGCCCTAGACTCATTCCCATCAGGTGCCTACTTAGATGTCCCCCCAGGGACTTTCAACTCAGCTCATCCAAATTGAGATCGATCGTGTCCCCAGGAAAAGCACCGTTCTGCCCTCCTTTGCTCAGAAACCACGCCACTCACCCCTTCTGTATCTGCCAAATCCCCGAACCTGAGCTCCGCCTTTCAGTCCCCGTCCTCTCCATGGGCGAGGCCTACCCACAGGCCTGCCCATTCCACCTGCCGTCCTCTGGCCCATGCTTCTGCCATCGTCTTCCGTCCAGCTGAGATTATCAGCTTATGTCGTTCCCTAGAACAAGGGCTGTCAACCAAGGTCAAGTTCACACACACACACACACATACACACACATCAGGGGACATTTGGCCTGGAGACAATTGACACAGGCCATGAAAACATCTGCTGTTTGACCCAGTGATCCCACTTCTGGGAATATATCCTAAGAAACCCAAAACACCAATCACAAAGAACTTATGCACCCCTATGTTCACGGCAGAACAATTTACAATAGCTGAGATCCGGAAACAGCCCAAGTGCCCATCAGTAGATGGATAAAAACGTTGTGGCACATTTACACCGTGGAACACTATGCAGCTGTGAAAAAGGAGGGATCTCTTACCCTTCAAGGCAGCATGGAGGGACCTGGAGAGTATTATGCTGAGTGAAATAAGCCAGGCAGAGAAAGACAAGTACCACACGATCTCACTTATATATGGAATCTAATAAACAATAAACTGATGAACAAAATAGACCCAGAGACACAGAAGCATGGAGCAGACTGAGGGATCTCAGAGGGAAGGCGGGGATTAACCAAAGAACTTAGATGCATATATTTGGACACAGGCAATAGTGCAGTGGGGGGGAGGGTAGTTGTGCGGTGGAGGGAGGCATTACTGGAAGAGGGAGGACATCTGTAATACTTTCAACAATAAACATAAAATTTTTTTTGAAAGAATAAAATAATCAAGTATGGACCCTGAATCTCCTACTTGGACTCATAAACTAACGTGAGGTTACCTGGGATGGAAACATCACACATCCCATCTACAGAACATCTCATGATGATAAAAACCAGCTCTGATTTTTAAGTTAAAACTTAAAGTTGAGCTGGAACCCAGCCCACCACCACCCCAGGCAGGGGGAGAGGGGGGCTCTAGCTGGTATGGATTTAAAGGCTGGATTTTTTTTTCCCTAAAATATAATTAACACTTCTCTAATATTTCTTCTGGTTCTGGCTAGGTCATCTGATGACTCTAGCTACTGGAAAAATATATTTTTTTAACCCGTAGGCTTTGAAAACCTGGCAGCCGCGTCATCCCGTGTATCGGATGGTGTCTGTGGGACTGAGCGGGCCGGCAGCTGGAGGGTTAAGCAGTCTTCCCGTGGTGTCTGCCCTGAACTTGCCCAGTTAAACTGCAGCAGTATGGGCCTCCGTAATTACCTAATTGTTACTGTTGTGCCTGTGTGTAATTTATGACGTAGCATTAAAGTCTGACCCTGGTTTGAAACCAAGTGCGATGCTGCTGACACCCAAGCTCAAATTAGTAGGTAAGCACCCAATTAAGGACTAGGCTTCTGAGCTTTCATTTCCACCCGACCACACTGCTGCGCTAATCAGTTTTCCGAGCCTCTCGCCTTCCCCAGAACTAACAAGCATTTTCTTCTGCTGTTTATGTCTACGCAGGCCCTGCACCCTCATGAGGAGCTCCCCACGGCTGCTGTCCTGCTGCCCAAACCCAAGGTCAACTCGATGGGTTCCCCCTGCCCTCTTCCTGGAAGGACTGGCCTCTGCACCACACCCAAGTCCCATGCAAGGCTGCTGTTGGCCACTGGACTCGCTCAAGTAAGGATGGATCCATTTGGATGTTTAGATCATGGATGTTTAGTGGATGGTCTCGGGCCACGGCCATCATCCAAATCCCCACTGTCTACCTGACAACTGGGAAAGTAGTACTTTATTCCACAGAAAGTCCCTTGAAAACAAGATCTGAGACCGATTCATCCACGTAGCTCTCACCAAGCTTGGTTCAGAGCCCACCGCATAGTAGAAACATCATAAAAATTAGTTCAAAGAAAAGAATGACAAATACCCCTCTTCTTTTTGTCCCATGCACGAGGCACCCTCCGGCAACACCTCCACGCACATCCAGAAAGACGACACGGTTCCCCTTGAAATCTTTCATCACAAACCAAGCAAAACCAAGCAAAGCATACTGGGCTGCCCGCACCTTCTGTTGAACGAGTTGTACAGAAAGGGAGAAGTGGCATTTGCTTTTGGTAACCGCAAAATAAAATGCATTGTACGTAAGAACCGGGAAGGGACATAAGCCCTGAACACGCATGCCCTCGAAGTTTTATTTAAATAAAAAGTGGATCTTTGATGGATGCGACTCGATTCTTTCCTACACATGACAACCTCTTTCAGGATCTCTTCCGCCTGGGTCCCAAGGGCGAGAGGTGGGCTCTGTGCCTAGTGCCCCCTGCAACATGGTCTTGGGTGGGTCCAGAGGGTGGGATTAAGATGCCGACACTCTGTTTGGAAAATGACATGAGATCAGAAAAGAAATGAGGCCATGATGGAGTGCCGTGTGTTCCTGTCAGGCTGCTGACCCACTGTGGGCCAGAGACACAGCCCATCGCTCAGCAGACACGTTCACTTAGCAAGACACACTGTGCATCAGAGCATAACCTATCGCTCAAAATAAAAAGCTTCTGCACAGCAGAAGAAACCATCAACAAAATGAAAGGGGAGCCGCCTGTATGGGAGAACGTATTTGCCAACAACACATCTGATAACACAACGACACGCCATCGTTAATATCCAAAGGGCTGATAAAGGGTTAATATCCAAAATATATAAGGAACTCACACAACTTAACAAAAGGAAGGCAAACAATCCAGGTAAAAAATGGACATTTCTCCAATGAGGACATACGGTGGCCAAGAGACATATGAAAAAATGCTCAATGTTGCTAATCATCAGAGAGATGCAAATTAAAACCACACTGAGGTATCACTTCACACCTGTCAGAATGGCTCCATCAACAGATCAATGAACTATAAGCATGGGGGGGTGTGGCGCCCTGGTGCACTGCTGGTGGGAATGCAGACTGGTACAGCCACTATGGAAAGTAGTGTGGAGTTTCCTCAAAAGATTAAAAATGGACCTGCCATTTGACTCAGTGATCCCACTTCTGGGAATATATCCTAAGGAACCCAAAACACCAGTCACAAAGAACTTATGCACCCCTATGTTCGCAGCAGCACAAT